GACATCGACGTCTGCTAGGGATAGCTGGATTACGTCACACAGACCCATCTCCTTCCATTGAGGTGCATGCTCTGACTTCAGAAGCCTCACCCAGTTAACCTAAGGGCAAGGAGACCGAGGCCAATTCTTGAGTTTTACACAAGACGACTCGGGGAAGGGCGAAGTCGTCCGGGCTAAGACAAAGTTAGCATACTTCTCTAATAAAACCAAAAGGTTAAATATGAGAAGTGATAAACTTACCAAAAAACCACCGATTCATGGAATGATAAATCTTCCTGTAAAGAAATGAACAACTATCACAATGAGGAAACAATCTAAAAGGAAAAAAGGGTTTTTAGACCACTGAATACATACCGTCACAAACTTGCCAAGTGGGCTAACAGGATTTTGGATAGTCGCTAGAGAATCAAGCAAACTCCCAGTGAGGTAGAAGATAAAGCAATAATAGAAGAAGTAGCAGAAGCGGAGGATGCCATTTGAGAGCTAAGGCAAGAGGAATGCAACAAATTGAATACTTGAAGTTCAAGAAATGAAAGAAAGGGCAAGAGAAGTGACCAGAAAAAAGAAACAAGTTTATATTAGCAAAGGGCATTCAGAAGCAAAGCGACATTTCATTTTTTTCAAACGTGCCATGTAGCTTACATTACCAGCCATTGGCACATAGGGGTGTTGTTTAGGCTAAATATGAAATGTCGCTCAAATAAGTCACAGGATTAGTTAGGCTAAGTAATTAAAGCGTTAGGCCTAATATAAAAGAAAGGGGCTGACCACGAGACTCAATAAAGGCCACAATAAGTAAACATGCCAAAATCATATTAGCTATAAATATTAAACCGTTGGCACGAAGATACGATCTTAAGTAATGCCAAAATCTACGACCAAGTATCTCAATGAAATGGGTTGGTTACTAAAATGGAGAGCATAGAATAAAGATCGTGCCATGAGTTTCGCAAGATCACTGATTTTTTGGCAAAACGTGCTAGCTTTCAAGAAAAAGGCTACTACTACTCTGACAATATAAATAGAAGAAGAAAATACAAAAGAAACTAGTCAACACTCAATCAAAAACTCACAAATTTTATATTCGTTAATCCTTTTTAGTTTTCAGTTTTAGGGTTGTAATCTTTTCACATTTTAATAACAATGAAACACTTGTAGTTTTCAATTTTAGGGTTATAATCTTTTCACATTTCAATAGCAATGGAACACTTGTTCTTCCAAAGCCTTGTATCTTTTTACATCCGAGTAATCTGTGATAAGGGAGTTCGGAATCCTTTTGTTATCAATTAAGACTCAAAGTCTCTAACACACTTGCACACACTTGGTATTTATTGTTGATACACAAACACATTCAAATTCAGAAACAATTATGACAGCACTAAGAGAAACAGAGATGCATCTTCGGTGAGGAAAGAAGGAGAATCCACGTTGCTATTGAAACCGAAGGAGAGGAAGGAAGAACCAGTGTCTTACCAACAACCAAAGTGCAGTGGAGCTTCCACTCTTCAGCTTGCCAACCACACCGAAAAAGAGAAAGGAAGTTTCAACCAGCTGTTTAACGAACAGGAAGAGCAGAAATTACAGATCAAAAAAATAAAGGATTTGAGCTTACTAACCACACACACTCGGACGCCCAACAGCTAAGAAGGATAGGAAGTTGAAGCTGACTCACACACCTGCCTTACACGCTGAGGATGACGTTGAAAAATTTAGAAATGAAACAGAGCAGCAGACCAAAGAGGAAATCCGGTGACTTCCACACTGCTGAAGCAGACAGTGTTGATGGTGAGAAGGCCGGCGGCAAGTTGCTGGTAGTGGAAAGGAGAAGACTGACAAATAGGGAAGCTGATCGGAGAAGGATGATAGAACTGACTTTCTTTCTCTCTCTCAAAGTGATCTGATACTCGAATGGCAGAGACGGTGTGGATAAAAATCTGATTAAAAGGAAATTGAGAAAATTACCAGTAGTGGCACAAGAAAAATTACAAGAAAGGACATTAAATTTTTCCATAATTTAAAAATAAATAAGAATCAAACTTTTGCTTGATAGAACTTGAACTCTTATTCTTCAAGAAAATTACTAGTATAAATTTTAATAAATTATCACTCTTCACTTACTATAGAATTTTAACAATTAAATAAAATATCAATTAAGAAAAAAATTTATTAAATTTAAAATTTTGTGTCATTATACCTTTAATGAGATTTTGAATTTAACTTTTTGAATAAAACTATATTAGTCAAGCAGATTTGTTTATTTGAAACCAAATTCACTTTAAATTTGAATTAGTGGATAATATGATATACTACCGTAAGAGCTAACAAAAATACAATATAAATAAAGAAGCATGGAGGTATATAAAATATAAATGAATCCAATTTCTCCCATCATTAATGGCCACCATAAGAAAAGAATAAGGAAAAATGATAAATAAATTCTTCCGTAATAGGAAGATGACAATCTATTTCCGCAAAAAGTGATAATTCCTTACATGTCTCAAGGGGCCTAATTATCATTAAATTTTTTGATAAAATAACAAAAATACCCTTTAATTAAAAAAAAAGTAAAAAAAAATGGCTAGATAAAGTTGTAAATTCAATACTTGTGAATTCCAAAATCAAAGTTGTGAATAAAAAAAATTTGTTGCATTTTACTTATTGAAGAAAAATAGTGACAAAAAAAAATTGTCAATGCCTGAAGCACTGTAATCATTTACTGAATCAAAAGTGTGAACTATAGAATTAAAGTTGTAAATGTAAAAAACTTTGTTGTGCTTTGCTAATTGAAGAAAAATGATGAGAAAAAGTTTTAAATATCTAAACTACTATAGACATTAAATTTTTTCCTAATTAAAAATAAATAAAAATCAAACTTTTACTTGATAGAATTTAAACTCTTATTCTTCAAGAAAATTACTAGTATAAATTTTAATAAATTATCACTCTTCACTTACTATAGAATTTTAACAATTAAATAAAATATCAATTAAGAGAAAAATTTATTAAATTTAAAATTTAGGGTCATTATACCTTTAATGAGATTTTGAATTTAACTTTTTGAATAAAACTATATTAGTCAAGCAGATTTTTTTTATTTGAAACCAAATTCACTTTAAATTTGAATTAGTGGATAATTTAATATACCTCCGTAAGAGCTAAAAAAAATACAATACAAATAAAGAAGCATGGAGGTATATAAAATATAAATGAATCCAATTTCTCCCATCATTAATGGTCACCATAAGAAAAGAATAAGGAAGAATGATAAATAAATCCTTCCATAATAAGAAGATGACAATTTATTTCCGCAAAAAGTGATAATTCCTTACAAGTCTCAAGGGGCCTAATTATCATTAGATTTTTTGACAAAATAACAAAAATACCCTTTAATTTAAACAAAGTAAAAAAATGGCTAGATAAAGTTGTGAATTCAATACTTGTGAATTCCAAAATCAAAGTTGTAAATGAAAAAAGAAAATTTGTTGTATTTTACTTATTGAAGAAAATTAGTGAAAAAAAAATTGTCAATGCCTAAAGCACTGTAATCATTTACTAAATCAAAATTGTGAACTATAAAATTAAAATTGTGAACGTAAAAAACTTTGTTACGCTTTGCTAATTGAAGAAAAATAGTGAGAAAAAGTTGTGAATATCTAAACTATTATAGTCATTTGTTCAACTAAAATTGTGAATTTTTAAATGAAGGTTATTTTTATTATTTCATTAAAAACTTTAATGACAATTAGATTCTTTAAGACTTAGTACTATACATTATCACATTTTATAAGACCAAATTATCATTTTCTTATTTTGAAGGGATTATTTGTCATTTTCTTAAAGAATAATATGCGTCACCCCATGATATGCTTTTATTTGAAAATCGAGTCAGCTCATATATAGCCATAATAAGTGTTCTAAAACATTATTTTTTGTCCTAGTTACATCGCATGCATGTAAATTGTCCTTGTTGTATTTTTATTATTATTGTCATTGCTTTTTTATTGAAGAATTATATTAAAGTCATTGGTTGTATGATCATCTCTATTTTCTGAAGCTAGCTTCTGAAAGAGTTGCGCGCTAATTTATTTAAATATATTATAGTAATAATTAATTTATTTATTTCACCAAAAATATTAATTCATTTATTCCCAACCATGTGCTTGTAGAAGTTACAAATCAATGTTCTATCTATCAAATGTGTTTAGCCAAAAAAAAAAACTAAATGTATTTTATAACATGTTTCTTTCATGAATACAGGAAAGCATAATGATTAAATAATACGGTAGATAAATAGTTGTTTAAACAGTAGGAAAAATTATATTTAAATCTCATAAAAAAATTATTATAAAAAAATTCTATAAAATTCACAAAATGCTCTCAAATTCTAAATATTACATATTTATAATTTAATTAAAAGTATTGATAATTTGATAATGTTCATTTAAAATTTGAAAGTATTTTATGAATTTTATAAAATTTTTTAATATTAAATTTTTTTTATGGTACTTAGTTGTAAGTTTTGTTAAATAATATTGGTGGGTCCTAGCCTCCTAAGTTCTTTCTTTTCCTAAATAATTTTGCCGGAAAAGCTAGACATGACGCGAACTTCCCCCACGGCCTCCTAGGATCCTAGTTCTTTTTTCCTAAGTAACCTTCCTCGTGATCCTTCTTACCAATTTTTTTTTTTTATAAAAAAATATTTTTTTAAATCTATATTTTTAAAATTTAGTTTTTTTATATTGTTATTTTTTTATTTGACACATGAATCTTCCAAATTAGAACTTGTTATGTTTAGGACACTATTAGTCACTAAATGGGAGCAATTTTTTTAATGAAAATTTATTTTCTATTTTTATTTTATAAAATGATATTAACATATTTTTTATTTGTGTAGTTTTTATCAAGTAAAAAAAATATTTTTCCAAACTTAACCCCCTACTATTTATTAGAATATTATAGATTATAGAAATATTCATTTTTTTGGTAACATTTCCTTCAAAACTAGTACATGACGATGAACAAGCTAAGCACGAAACTGGATGATAGTACTTTAAATGAATGATATATTTTGTTAAATTTAGTATCCAAAGAATCTGACGTGGCTTCTATTTGTTGCCAACTTGTTCAATAGACCGGCCAGGCTTTTCTTCTTGCTTGATCCTTGAGATCCATCATCCTCAGATGTACAGTTCGACGGCAACGAAGGTTCCGGCGAGCTGCGCCGCTTCTCTCTAATGACTACTCTTGCCGGCTCCGGCGGTGGCTCGGATCCAATAAGGTGTGGGAAATTGAGCTTGGCTTTTCTGCCATGCATCTTGAAAGCAGCTCTATCATAAGCCAAAGCTGCGTCCTCCTCGCTCTCATAGGTTCCGAGCCATGTCCTTGAGCCGTTCCTCTTTGGGTCCCGGATCTCCGCTGTGAACTTCCCCCACGGCCGACGCCTCACACCTCGGTAATTCCTCCATCTAGGTGGCGCGTTCTGCTCACGCGCCACGGTTCCTGCATCATTTCCATTAACGCAATTATCACCACCTGGTTTCACAGTGTGGTTATTCTCACCAGGAAACACCGTAACACTGGAGCTAGTAGCACCCTGATCCGGCGAAGCCATGTCGCAGTTCAAGTTGGAAGTAGGGTTGCCGGCCGCCGTGAAGGAGCCATTCATGACAGTCATGAAGGAACAAGGATCATCTTCAATCAGGTAATGCTGAACTGATTCAAAAGGAGAACGATTAGGGCTCATTTTGAGAAGCTAATAAGTTTGATGAGAGTACAGAAGCAATGGATTATGGATCCGTGAAGCATGTCTTTTATATGTGTGTGTGTGTGTATGTGTGTGTTTGTAGTGACTACTTACTTGTGTTCTTAGTGATGATGATGTTATGTAATTATTGTTTCCTGGAAACTTCAACTTTGTTAATTTGGAGCAGCTGTGATCGCGCATGTGATTGGTTCATTGCTTCATTGCTTTAATTTGTCGTGTAACAAGCATCATGGCAGAAGCAACACTAGTCAAAGATTAAAAGCCTAATTATTCAAAGATTAAACAAAACCTCAAAGCCCTCAAAAATATTTCACATCCTGTGTCTCAAATATTATAAAACATTTTTAAATAAAATTATACATATTAGTAAAACTCATTAAATATATTCTATAAATTTATTTTTTTAAAAATTATAAACTTTTAAAAATATCTTTCATTTAATACTCCATTTATAAAAGAATATTAAAGAGGGACAATAAAATAGGAAGGGTAGTATTGAAAAATATCATTAAGAAAATCTTATTTTTATCAAAGTACCTTATATTTTGGAGCATTCAATTGCCACCAAAATTATCTTATAATTTGAGATGAAATGAGTACTAACATAATAAAAACAAATAATCTTTTATATTATAGATTTATAGTCAAACACAAACTATTCCAATAACAATGCCGCCTCTTTTTTTTTTTTCCCCTTAGAAGAGATCTTAAACTTTATCTGATCATTGACATGTTTGTATGCGTATGTATTTAATTCGATTGTATACGACATAAAATATATGATTTCTTGGGGAACTCTAGAATGCTTAAGCGATTAATCTCAACTACTTATTTTTGGTAGAGATTAGAAATAAATCTTTTTTCTTGACTGTGTCTGAAGTTATCATTTAATAATTAACATTCTTATTATGTTTTTGTTAAAAGTATGAATTTTTTTATTTTTAAAATTATTTTTATTTTACTTTGAAATGTTGTAGTATTAAATGAATCCCATTTTTTGTGTCGGTTTAATAGTTTCTAATAAAGTCACGTGTTTACGGACAAACAGGTGAATACTTAGCTTCCTAATATCCCGTCAGGGTGTGTTTCAATGCTCATAAAATTTCAAATATCCAAATTTAAAAATCTATTTTTTATTAAAATTAAAATTATAAAAATGATGATAAATTTATTTTATTATTAATATGAATAATACAGATTTAATCTAAATGGTTTAATTTAATGTTATCTATATCAAAATAAAAATGTATAAAAATTTGAGAAAAAATATTATTAAATTTAGAATGTGTAGAATGCATTTAGATAATTAATTTAAAAAATTATAAAATTTTTAATATTTACTTAAACCATTCAAATTATATTGGTGATAAAATAAATTTAGTAAAAAATTTTAAAATTTTATTTTAATACATATAAATAAAAAAACGTTTAAATCAAAATGGTTCAGATCTTGTTAGTCTAGTGAGCAGCACACCGTGCTCGGCCAGCCCCAACCAAAGGGGACAACATCAACAACATCATTTTCTAACTTCAATAAAACAGTGTTTTTTAAGGCAGCTTTTGTTAGTAAAATAAAATCAAAAAATGAAATTTATTATAAAAATTTACGCTATTTAATAAGCCATGAAAATATTATGAATGATTACTATAATATTCATGTCTTGTTCAACACAAGAAGCCCATATGTAATCAACCTAAATTTTATTCGTTTTTTAAAATGTACTAGATTAGATTAGAACTTAATAATATTGGATATTTTAATATTTGGATTTTTAAATTTCACTAATTTTTTATTTGGAAAAAATTGAACAATATCGTACAGAATAAATATACACTCTTAATTCCTTCATAAAATGTGTAGGCCCTTCAATCTATCACAATCAAAACAAAAACATTGTATTTAATTAGGTTCGGATTCGAAATTGAAAAATGACGCGTTGAATATAAATATAGACACACTATCTATATAAAATATAAATTTCACATTGTCCTGTCTATGTTGTTCAGAAGAATAAACTGTTTTTGATGAGAGAAAAAGAAAAATAAAATGTGACCTCGCGTGGCCTCCACTTCTTATGTCCTTTTCTTGTCCACATTTTTCTTCAAAGATGGGAGAAATATGCAGGGCGCTGGTGGACGAAATTAAATTAGTTTATTTTGAGATCTCAAGTTCAAATTTTAAGATATGTGGTCGTGAAAAATAAATATGTTAAATGTATTCCTAAAATATCTGTGAGGCTACCGTGATAATGGTCTCACATAGTGGAGTTTTGAATTAGTTTGGGGTTGGAGGTAGTAATACTTTCAAGTTTTTCAAAACACCGGGTGATTGAAATAAAAAAAAAAAAAGATGGATGAAATCGTCGTGCTCACAGTGTAATAAATGTGCTGATCGAACGGCAAAAAGATTCTCTTGATGTTGGATATGTAATCTTACAACTTAGTTCTCAGAAAAAACAATTTAATAATAGTTAGATCTTAATACTATTTAGGGTGAATTGCTTAAGAAAAAAAAAAAAACTCTACTTGAGAGGAAAATTGTTGTCAGGGACCAAAACAATTTTAAAGACCAAATTGATTTTAATTGAAAGATATTATTCTACTTGTTTATTTTAATTTATATTTATTTATTAATATGGTAAAATTAATTTATATATAATAATTATTTATATTTTATTTTATTTTTAAAAATTATTTTTCATAATAAATTTTCAGTGGGCCACATATTCATTTTATTGTATCTACCCAAAATGTATAAAATAAGACCAAGTACCTTATCATTGATTTTAAAGTTATTAATATTTTTTGGGACATTACAAACTAACTAATTATTTATTGAATATTAAAAAAATCATGCATTCTCAAGTCAATGCATTCCTCTTCCCTGCATAAATAAATTCGATCTTCCAAATGTATAAGGGCAAATGATATGTTTCAATATCATGTCTATGATCATATATAGGCGCTCACCTCTTCTAATTAATGTCTATTGACTTAAATTTTAGAACGTTTATAAATCAAATACTCTCTCCATTCTAAAATTGAATAAAATTTTTTTAATTAGTATAGAACTGAGCAATGCGCAACACACTTTGAAAAATCACACACCTTTTAATTTAGAATTCAAGCCCAAATTTAGTATAACCTTTTTTTTTTTTTTGCCAGAAATTTTAGTATAACCTTTAAAGACAAGTAGAATCCAACTAAAATCAGTCATTCCTAACGTAGCCTTTATAAATGCAAGACTCTCTACTGTCTGCACAAGACCCTAAACAAGCAATCTTGAACCAGTTATAAATAGGGAGAATGATAATAAAATATCCTAAAAAAATATATGACAAATAGATACCACAAAATGTGATAATTATTTTTCCAATCCCTAGGACTTGTCTAGCATTTTTAAGTTTTTATAAAAACTTGTATGATTTAGTAAAAATTTGAATATAAATTGCTTTACTGAAATCATCTTTTTTCTTTTTAAAAAAAGTGGAGTTATCTTTATAAAATTTTTCTTTTTGTTTTATGATTTTCTTTGTTCTACCATTCAGATCTTTTATTTGTTTTTCTGTCAATGAACAACATATATATCCAATTAATAAATTGAATTGGAAATGCTTAGTTGTCTCGTCCAATTAATCATAACCATATGTGATTTTAATTGACCGTAAAATTGCTTTCCTGTATTGAATGCTTCAAATAGTAGTAGATGTGATAAGCATCTATCCCAACCAACTATTGTTTTTTTTTTTTATTAATTAGCCATTGGCAAGATGTCACGCTGCTCTTGTCATGTTTCGTTGAAATTTTTCCACCATGGATTATGTCATGAACAGAGTTCTCTCGATAAATTGCATGTTAATTACGTTTATCTTTTTTCCCCCTCAAAAATGTGTAACATATGAAGTTTAATCGCGATTCATATAGACATAAATATGGCTACAACAATCCAAGAACAAGACTGTAGCTTCACATTGAGTTTCTATGGGAACGCAGGAAAATTCAGATATGATATTCACATTAGCAAACAAAATTGTTTGGAATTAAACTTGCAGAAGTGTGACCACCTCATGCAATCCAAATTAATTTTGACATTAACACGACGGTCTGTACCAAAAATTAATCCAGAGTAATTTTGACAATAAGTATTAGTAACTTATTCATTAATTCTGGTCTTATTTGTCAATTACTATTTCAACATTTTTACGTAATGACCAAGTTGTTGATTCTGAAAAAATATAACTTGTGCATTTAATTATTAATAGACAAAAAATATAAGTTTGTCTTGTCCCAAAAGAGACAAACTTCTTTAAATTGATGCTATATTAAAAAAGAATTTATAAATTTGAGATAGTATTTGAATATCAGGAGCTGAGTTTTCTTGATTTCTCATGCTTCTGTAGATTACTAACAGATTGCTTGGAACCTTTGTTAAAGAAAGACAAGCATAAAATTTAGTTAACCATTTTTTTAATCACAGAGTAATACTTCAAAAGGGTCACTTCTTTTGACAAAAAATTTGCAATAATAACTATAAATGCATTGGTTCACTAGTTTTTAAATGCTTAACTGTCTCATCAATTAATTATAAAACTTACTAATTAAAATCATAATTAATACTACTCTGATTTTTCATATAAGACAAAGTTTAAAAATAATTTTTAATCCTAAATACAAGATGAAGTTAAAATAATTAATGTATTATTTTCAATTTTACCTCTTACATATTTATTGTCATTTGAATTTCTAAATAATAATTCATTATCGTTATTAATTATGAAGAAAGGTAAAATTAAAAAGCTACGTATACATATATTTTATAATTTCAAGATTATAATCATATTTTTAATAAGTGCGAAGTTTAATTTGACTCTAATTCACATTAAAAATTTTCCGTATATATTGAATGCTTCAAATAGAAGTAGATGTGATAAGTTGGACAAACAAGTTATGGGCCAATCTACGGGCTAATCCGCATAAGTTAGCATTTTTGTAGGTTG